GGGTCGTGAGTTCAAGCCCCACATTGGATCTAGAGCTTATTACAAAAAAAAAAAAAAAGTGACAGTATGTATTGAGGCCTAATTGGTATGGATTATAGAAAAATGTCACTTAAAATCTCCTTAAAGGATATTAATAAAATAATTGAGTAATATGTATTTAACCATTCTTATAGATTAGGTTTTTAGTTTTAGTGTCACCAGATGTTTAATCTCAGCAGAAATGCATTAAAATGTATCAAAAGGTGAAGTCAAATTTTACCTGTAATTGACAGTACTTTTGACAAAATGTAGATTTTTTTTGCTAGTCTGTTACTCTGAATTACTTTTTTTTTTTAATGTTTTATTTATTTCTAGGAGAGAGAAAGAGAGAGAGCGTGAACAGGGGAGGGTCAGAGAGAGAGGGAGTCACAGACTGAAACAGGCTCCAGGCTCTGAGCTGGCAGTCAGCACAGAGCCCGACGCGGGGCTCGAACCCACGAACCGTGAGATCATGACCTAAGTGAAAGTCGGACGCTTAACCGACTAAGCCACCCAGGCGCCCCTGTTACTCTGAATTAATTGCTTTATTTAAAGCTTCTTCCACAGAGCTTTGTGGGTTTTCAAGCTTTGTCTAAGCCTAACTTGGATATGAGTGCTTAAAATTGTTAGCCATACAGAGTCAACTTGTCAGGTGGCGTTAGCACAGCGGACATATTAGGAATGCCGTTTTCACACAAGAGGCTGGAAACTTGGGCAGCACTCACAACCATGATGTGAAAAGGCAAAATATGCCAGTCAGTCCTGCGCAGTTAACTGTGTCTCAAAAGTCCAAGGCCCGGGGCTACATATTATGAAGGATAAAAATGATCTGTAGCTGGGTTATGGGTATTCAAGTGGCTTAAATCTCAGAGGACACATATGCAAAAATACATAGTGCAGAGCAGGAACGGGAAGGGCTGTGTCTATGACACTGAGTGGTAAAGAGCAGTACAGTATGCATGGGTCTTTGGAATGGAGACCTCAGGGAGGCAAAGTAAAATGGCTTTTGAGCCAGGCCTTGAATAATTGGGAGAAGATATCCTGTAGGAATAATTATAGGACATTCACACCTTGGAAAGACTGTAAGAATTAGTGTTAGAAAGGAGTTTACAAACAATAGAACTCCCTTATGACCCAGCAATAGCACTGCTAGGAATTTACCCAAGGGTTAGGGTTAGAAATGCTGAGGCATAGGAGCACATGTACCCCAATGTTCATAGCAGCACTCTCCACAATAGCTAAAACATGGAAAGAGCCTAAGTGTCCATCAACAGATGAATGGATCAAGAAGATGTGGTTTATCTATACCATGGAATACTACATGGCAATGAGAAACAATGAAATCTGGCCATGTGTAGCAACATGGATGGACCTTGAGGGTGTTATGCTGAGCGAAATAAGTCAGGCAGAGAAGGACAAATATCATATGTTTGCACGTATAGGAGGATTAGGAGGAACTTGACGGAGGAACAAGGGGGAGAAGAAGGGCGGAAATGGTGGGGGAAAGGGAGAGAGGCAAACCATGAGAGACTCTTGAATGCTGACAAAAACTGAGGACTGATGAATGTGGGGGGGAGGGGGGGATGGGCATGGAGGAGGGCACTTTGGGGATGAGCACTGAGTGTTATGTAGAAACTAATTTGACAATAAACTATTTGTAAAAAAAATTAAAAAAAATAAACTTTAAAAAAAAAAGAAAATACCATAAATATAAAAAAAAAAAAAAAGAAAGGAGTTTACAGAGTTACCTTTTGAGAATTAAATTACGTCATCACGAAACCGTAGGAAGCAAAATACCTTGAGGCCCAAAAGAGTCCTCAACGGAAGAAGGCAAGCCGTACAGGAAATGGTATTTTGTGTGCATCCGGCCATTCCCAGGAAAAGAGAGTACTTCCAGGAACGTGAACTTCTTGGTCATTAGAGCTGTGGCCCCTGCGGGAGGCGGAGTCTCTTCACTGAGGTATACCACAGCTGCAGTGAAATATTCTTTCCGTTGCTTCTCCCTCTTTGTCCATAGAACATAATGATTGAGAGTATGGCCTCAGTATCATAACTGGTCCATATTCCATTTCTGAACTCACTAGCTGAGTGACTCTTGAAGAGATAAGAACCTTGGTTTCTTCATCAGTATTGAGGGACTTAACGTTACCTATTTGCTAGGGTAATTCTGAGAATTGAATAAGAGTATTTGTCTGAAAAGTTGAACATGGGGCTCAGTACATGACATTCAATAAAACTGCGAAATGTGATCTATAATTTTATATTTACCAAGAAGCCTTAATCACTGATTTCTAGATAGCTTAATCATTTGAATCAGGATGCACAGAACTGATACTTAAGCATTCTAGTAACCAAGTGAGATATTCCTATCATGAATTTAACTACAACATTTTCAGCTGATGCTGGGTAGCATTAGTGTATCATTTCTGGGAAGTCTGGAAAAGCTCTTTCTGCAGCCGCAGTAAGGCTAGGGACGCACTTGAATAAACCTATCCGTGTTGAACACCAGCCTGTGAGGTTTCTCAGGGAGTAATGATGGCTAACTTTGAGCACTCCACTGAGTGTATCACCTGCCATGTTGTCTGAGCCCCACAAATGACTCTGAGGTGGGTACAATAGTTCTCCACTTACAAACAAGAAAGTCGGAGCTTGAAGATGCTAGCCAGCGCCAGCATCTGACCCTCAGTCAGCCTGAGTTCTTGGCCTTTAAATGCTGTACTGCACGAGATTCATGTGAGAAGGACCCAGTTTCAGATCCAGTTCCACTTCCCTCCAGGAATATGATCTTAAACAAGTTATTTTTGCCTCTCCAAGCCTGAGATTCTTCATCTGAAACACAGTATGAGTACCTCCTGTGTAGGCTTGCATGGAGAATTAGATATGAAATGTGTCAAGTGCCTGTCACAGTTTCTGATGCATGATGGAGACTCAGCAAGACAGAAGTGTGGTGTTTGGGGCTCTCTAGACTGCTTTCTGCCTCCCACTTCCTCCTTGGCACGTGATCTGTGTGTCTCTTTCAGGTAAAAGAAAAACCTTTATACTTTCAAATACATGTCAGATATAACTTGATTGTTTAAATTAGAAACAACTGAGGCTGTTACTAGCTTTAAGTGCTGATATTTTTCCTTTATAGCCACACACATTCCTTCTCACTATTGTGATAAAATGTATATACAACATGAAACACGCCATTTTAACCATTTTTAACTCTACAACACCATGGCATTACTTACATTGATGCTGTTGTATAACCATCACCACTGCATTTCCAGAATGCAGAATAAATTTAGAAAAATAATGCTTAGGTTTATGTCTAAGAATTTATTGTCTGTGTTTTCTTCTAGGAGTTTTATAGTTTCAGGTTTCACATTTAGGTCTTTAAAAATCCGTTTTGAATTTATTGTTCTGTATATTTGGTGTGAGAAAGTGGTTCTGTTTCATTTTTTAGCATGTGACTACTCAGTTTTCTGTATACTGTCTATTGAAGAAATTGTCTTTTCCCCATTTTGTCAGAGAGTAATTGACCATACACATGTAGATTTCTTTCTGGGCTCTTTCTCCTGTTCTAGTGATCTGTTTTAGCCACAAAGATTTTATTTTTTATATTTTTATTAGGTAGACTCCATGCCCAGTGCAAACCCCTGAGCTAAAAAGTCAGACACTTAGCCAACTGAGTGATGCAGGCTCCTCTGGCCACATATATTTTAAAAGTCATTCAAGGCTGAGTTCTCTCATGATAGTGATGTCAAAGATACTTCATTAAAATAATAGATTTTAAATTAAAAATTGTATTCTAGTTAGAATTTATTTTAGGACTAAACCTAAGTTAATGGAAGTATGTGGTATAAGGAAAATGATACCATCCAAATATGGATATTTTTATCTTTGCCAACCAGTACTTTTATGTCTGAATCAAATAAAATATTCCAGTTGCAAATTATGTAGAAAACATATGATACAATCCATGCAGGGCTAATGTTTTATTTTGTACTTTGTTTTCATGTTTTAAAAGAATTATACTTTACTTACATGGTTCTAAAGACCAAATAAACATTTTTATTAATTTGAAGAATTTTTTAAAAATTACTAAACTTTTTCTCAGATAGCTGGAATATTGTATTTGATTCAAACTCAAAATAATGATTGGCAAACAAAAAATTTTAAATTTTGGCTGGCATGATTTTCCTTAAAATGTAATAGACATTTGGAAGATGAGAAGGGACAAAACATGTCTTATAAAATGCTTAGAATCTATTTTGTGTATCCTTAAAATGTTAGAAGGTTCCTTGGAGCAGATTTAGATTTTCCAGGTCTAAACTGGCCTAGAGTTAATTGTGGCCCTCCGTTTTTTGGGTGTTTTTTTTTGTTTTTTTGTTTTTTTGTTATTTTTGATTGTATAAAAGGAATTTGCTGACAGTTCTACAGTACTTTCCAGGACTTATTTTTGGAAATAAATGATGTAATGAGAATATAGAAGAAGCATGTACTACTTGAATTTTCTGTGTACCTTTTTTCAATTTATTTTTAAAATATCTTTAAACGTGCTCATTTGCAAACAGTGCTGCTGTTCATCCAGACTTACACAGGTTTCATTTGGTAAGTGTCCAGGGATAATAGATGAGTGATTGACTTCAGCAGATGACTTCATTTAACCAGTAATTTCACTACCTTCGTTAAGGTGACAGTTCCAGCATCGTGCACGGTAAAATAACATGGAGAACCTAGAAAGTGTATCAGTACCAGGGCCCCATCTTGGACGGGCTCCCTGGGTAATAAACACGCAGCCAGGGCTGAGCACCCTTGTCTTCCAGCAAGAACCAGTTGAGGCTGGGTGGGGTTGTGAGCCAGAAGTAGTAGTAGGAATGAGCCTTGGTCGTTTCCAACCTTTCCCTGCTTACAGTGAAACAACCCAAGAGACCACAATCACTGAGAACCCGGAGTTTAGAAAATGAAGTAGCTTCTTTTCTCTTTTGTCATTGTAGACATGGAAGGACTTTCATGAAACATAAATGGTTCCACAAAAGATGCTCTAATGGATGACAGCGAAACTCCTACATATGATCTGCAGATAGAACCACAAGATGGGTGTCATCCTGGTGACGGCGTGTCAAGTACAGTAACACGCTTGCCTTCGGCATCTGATGAAAATGAGAATCGGCTTGACGGGGACGGTCAGGAGGGTCTGAGCCCAGACACCCATGTCATGGGCAGACCTGAAGCCAGCGAGCAGGACAGTCTCAACAATAACGAAAGCTGCACACCCAGCTGTGAGGTGGCTGTGTGTGAGAACTCGGTGGACACTCCCTATGAAAGCCCCAAGGATGGGCAGGCCTCCGTGGGAAGGGACAAAAAAATACCCGGAAGAAGAAGCTCCAGAACCAAAAGGGGCACCACGAAGAAGATAGCACAAGGTAGTTTAAAAATTCTGTTTTATACTCTCCTTTACCTAAAAATAAGCTGTCTCGTGTCCCACACTCTGCACACTGTCCTACATCTTGCTTACTTCTCTTAATAGACTCTGGAGCCGGCTCTCCCGTAGCACACATGGATCCAGGAGGGTGGCATGTCCTGCATGTGCTGCCTCTCCACAGGGTCCCGTCTTTATAGGTCTTCCAGTACTTTCTAATAAATGTGCTGAAATTGAAATTATTTATTTGTTCATGCTTTCACACCAGGTACTTTAAACATATATTGTCTTCTTCCTTTATAAATTCGACCGTTTTCTACCGATATCAGCCTTAAAAATTTCCTTCTGTCCTCACTGTGGCTTTGATCTCTCTCATCTGTGAGTTTCTGTGCTAAGACAGTCTAAAATTCTTCATGGGGTCTTTCCAGCTCAGGACGTGAATAATTGTATTAGCACATCCATCGGTGCTGAATAAAACATCTAGTTTTCATGGCCTGTATCGCTTTGGTTACAAAGTAATTCAGACTGTTTCTTCCGACTCCACACCCCAGAGTATTTCTAATTTGGTATATAGTTTGGCAGTTAAAAATTTGGATCTATGGACTTTTTCCCTCTGAATCACAGGCACCTTTGGAAAAGGCAGCCTCTGGTTGTTTTTTATCGGAAACATGTGGGACTAGAACAATCTGGAACACCCTTGGCTGGGACACCTAGTGTAGCGGTCTTTGCATGAGGCTCAAGACAATGAAGGGGAGGGGCGCCTGGGTTAAGCGTCCGACTTCGGCTCAGGTCATGATCTCACAGTTCATGGGTTCGAGCCCCACATAGGGCTCTGTGCTGACAGCTAGCTCAGAACCTGGAGCCTGTTTCAGATTCTGTATCTCCCTCTCTCTCTGACCCTCCCCTGTTCATGCTGGCTGGCTGTCTGTCTGTCTGTCTCTCTCTCTCTCTCTCAGAAATAAATAAAACATTTAAAAAATTTAAAAATAAAAAAAGACAATGAAGGAGAGTATCTCTTCCCATCTTCTGCTTCTTTGGCTGATTAGAAATGTAGTCAATCTATCCATATCTTGTAATTTTTTTTTTTTAATTTGGAGTAAAAGATCAAACTTTCCATTTCCTACAAATTTATCCTTATTATTTCAATAATGTGATGTGATAACTTTTTAAAATGTTTATTCATTTATTTTTGAGAAAGAGAGAGAGAGAAGGAGAGCACAGAGAGAGAGGGAATGCAGAGCCTAACATGGGGCTTGAACTCCTGAACCGTGAGATCATGACTTGAGCCATAATCAAGAGTCGGACGCTTCAACTGACTGAGCCACCCAGGTGCTCCTAAAATAGTTTTTGAAAAGAGATATGAAAGCTTTTTCTTAAAAGACCTGAGGTAAATCAGATGATGTATGTAGTGCTATTTATATATGGATTGATTTATTCAATAACTATAATTCAAGAGCAATTTGTGCCTCTCTAATACATTCTTTTGATGTTTTTGAGATCTGAGACCTAGTTACATATTTATATGGATCAATCATAGCTTAAGATGATGGCTCCATTTATTCCTTCCTTCCATGACCTTATTCCATTTTCCCTAGGTGTGATTATGTTATTTAGTTATTCAGTGCTTATTATCCAGTGAGCATATAAGTGTGGCATTACTGTCCCTTAATGCATTTGAAATACGTGATTTATAAAACTTGAGTATAGTCTTTATATAGATTAGCTCTCAATTATTTTATATATCTTAAGTAAAATGAGTTTGAAAGCGTAAGAAAACGGAGTTAGGAGTTGTAATACTATTGTAAGTTCAGATTTTCTGGTTCTAGGTCACTTGGTGAGACTTAACGATTCTGTACTTCAGTTTCCTCAATTTATAATGATGAAGTTCATCTCTATATATCTCTACAAAATTCCCTTCTGAGCTATGAATTCCTAAGGTTTCGAACAGGGGTCGTATGGTCTGAACTTGATTAAAATTTGGTGACTCACCTCTGTATCTATAGAGGGTTTTTTGAGTTTTTTTAATGCAAGGGGTACATTTTTATTTGTACTTTAAGTTTTGTTGTTAAATTAGGGTGAGCAGTAGGATTCTAAGCAGGGTGGAAGGCTTCTCAGGAGGACAGAATTGCTTGTTTCTAGACTTGGGGAGGACTGGGAATGGCAGCTTCAGGATGGCCAGTGAGTCGTCTCTGTACCCTAAGGGATCGCTCCAGCCCGGCTCTCTCCCTCCGTGCCCAGTCACCAGGTCCAAGGGATCCTGTCTGCCCGACAGCTCCCGGTTAGTCTGTTCTGTCCCTCTCTGCTGCGGCACTTCAGTGCCCTCCTCCTGAGCTGAAGTAAAGCCCCCTGAGGATGGCTCTGCCTTGTCACCCGTGTCAGCGCAGACAGTGCGGAGAGTTCCTGCGGAGGTGTCTACGCATGGGCGTGTTGGCGCTTCTTTTTAGGGCAAATCCTAAGATCCCAAGGACATGAACCTCAAAATTTTGCAGATAGGCACTTTTCTAAGAATACAGCAGCTTTTCAGATGAGAAATGACGTATCAAGCCTGATGCTCCATTCCAAACCAGCAATAGTAGGGCGCTCTCTCAGTACTTTTTAAAAAAACATATTAAGGTGAATTTTATTTACTCTTGGGCCCTTGTACTTAGGTTAATTGGTAGTACTTTTTTTGTTTCCAAAAGCGAGTACTGGAAAAAAAGTGGAGCAATAGTATGAGGAGACATGTCATTATTTACAGGTTTTTCTGGAGGTAAAATTTCTATTTTTTTTTAATGAGCAGCAGGCAAAGTTAATTAGAGCATAAAATCAGAAAGTAAGAATAGGATGAAAGCTCTTTATAGAGAGTGGGCGTTCGAAAATAAATACCCTAGAGGCAGCACTTCTAAAAACCTGCTAAGACCTTGAACTCTGCCTCACAGAAGTCCAGTTGCCATTTTATTTATTATTTTCATTTCTGTATTTATTTTTTTTAATGTTTTCTATTCATTTCTGAGACAGAGAAAGAGACAGACAGCGTGAGCAGGGGAGGATCAGAGAGAGAGAGGGAGACACAGAATCTGAAACAGGCTCCAGGCTCTGAGCTAGCTGTCAGCACAGAGCCCGATGCGGGGCTCGAACCCACAAGCCGTGAGATCATGACCCAAGCCAAAGTTGGACCCGAAACCGACTGAGCCACCCAGGCGCCCCTGTATTTATTTTTTAACGTTTATTTACTTTTGAGACACAGGGACAGAGCATGAGAGGGAGCGGGGCAGAGAAGGAGACAGAATCCAACCAGGCTCCAGGCTCTGAGCTGTCAGCACAGAGCCCAACGTGGGTCTCGAACTCACAAAATGAGAGATCATGACCTGAGCTGATGTCTGACGCTCAACTGACTAAGCCCAGGTGTCCCCCATTGCCATTTTATTATGAGACTAGTTCCTTAAGAGAATTGAATCTCTTTAATATAGTCCACTAAGCAGAGTTTCAAGCTGCATCCCATCAAGTTTTCACTATAGTTGAATCTGGCATAGCTTTAAGTAAACATCCTAAAAATGAATGAAAATGAGCCTATAAATTTTTAGCAGCTTTGTTGAGATAGTCACATACTGTACACTCCACCTAATGTGTATAATTCACTCATTTTTAGTACATTCACAAAACTGTATAACCATTGCCACCATCAATTTTAGAACATTTTCATCATCACACAAAGAAACCCCATACCTGCTACCAGTCACTCCCCATCTTCCGTTGGGCCTTCCCAGCCCTAGTCAACCACTAATCTGCTTTCTTCATAGATCTGTCTCTTCAGGACATATTAATGGAATTATACAACATATGGTCTTTTACAACTGGCTTCCTTCACTTAGCATAATATCTTCAGGCTTGATCCATGTTGTACCTCCATGTATCAGTATTTTACTTCTTTTTACTATCACTTAATATTCCACTGCAACACATATACTGTATTTCCTTTATCTATTTGTCAGCTGATAGACACTGGGACTGTTTCTACTTTTTGCCTATATTGAATAATGCTCCTAGGATCATTACTGTACTTTTTTGTTTTTTTAAGAGTACATTATTATTTAAATTAAGGTTAACTAACATACATATAGTGCTGGTTTCAGGAACAGAACCCAGTGATGCATCACTTACATACAGTACCCACTGCTCATCCTAACAAGTGCCCTCCTTACTGCCCATCACCTATTTAGCCCATTACCTCACCTACCTCTTCTCTAGCAACCCCCAGTTTGTTCTCTGTGTTTAAGAATCTCTTATGGTTTGCTCCCTCTCTCTTTGTATCTTATTTTTCCTTCCCTTCTCCTTTGTTCATCTGTTGTGTTTCTCAAATTCCATATATGAGTGAAATCGTATATTTGTCTTTCTCTGACCTATTTTGCTTAGCATAATACACTCTGGTTCCATCCACATTGTTAAAAATGGCAATATTTTATTCTTTTTGATGACTGGGTAGGGTAGTATTCCATTGAATTTATATACCACATCTTCTTTATCCATTCATCAGTCAGTCGATGGACATTTGGGCTCTTTCCATACTTTGGCCCTTGGTGATAGTGCTGCTATAAACATTGGGGTGCATGTGCCCCTTCGAATCAGCACTTTATATTCTTTGGATAAATACCTTGTAGTGCACTTGCTGGGTCAGAGGGTAGTTCTATATTTAATTTTTTGAGGAACCTCCATACTCTTTTCCAGAGTGGCTGCATCAGTTTGTACTCCCACTAGCAGTGAAGGGGGTTCCTCTTTCTCTGCACCCTTGCCAATATCCGTTGTTGCCTGAATTGTTAATTTTAACCATTCTCACAGGCATGAGGTAGTGTCTCACTGTGGTTTTGATTTGTATTGCTCTGATGATGGGTGATGTTGAACATCTTTTCACGTGTCTGTTAGCCATCTGGATGTCTTCTTTGGAAAAGTGTCTATTCATATCTTTTGCCCATTTTTTCACTGAATTATTTGTTTTTGGGTGTTGAGTTTGATAGATTCTTTTGTTTT